GAAGATGACATGTTGTTGTTTTCTGGTTTACACTTCCTAATAAAAGTTTGTAATAATTTGTATATTTGTTCTCCTATTTGTTATGAGTCTCCTTTTTAGGAGTATTTTTAAGGATTCTTTTCCTGTATCATTGCTTCTCAGTAGTTTGTTTGTAACATCTTTGTATAGTCTTCTGTGTGTTTCTCCTCATTGGGGTTCATGGACACAACTGGATCAGTGAGTTTAATAGTTTTAGAAAATTTGGTTTCATTTTGGTCGCTATTTCCTCAAATCGTTTTCATGAACTCACCCCCGGCCTCATATAACTGGGATTTCAGTCACACATAGGTTAGTCCCCATGATACTGACCTACTAGACACTAAAGATATGTTAATTTTTTTTCAGGCTGTTTTTTTTATTCCTCTCTATTTGATTTGGATAAATTCTTTTGCCCTGCATTCAAGTACTCCAAGTTCAGTTTTTTGGGGTTTTTTTCCTGGAGAATCTATTCTGCCATTCAGTCCATCTGTTACATTTTTATGTCATGTATTTTTTTCTACTCTGGAAGTATCATTTGCTGATTACTATTACAGTGTATTTCTCTCGACTAATTTCATGTGATCTTTTAAATCCTTGAATATACTTATTTTCATTTTAAAGCTTTTTCTGATACTTCATCATTTCTATCAAATTGTATCATCTATTAACTGGTTTTTCTACTGGGTATGGATCACATATTCCCAATTCTTTCTACGTATGGTAATTGTGGATTGACTAAGTAAAATTTTCAGATTGAGTGTTTGGATTCTGTTGTCGTCCTTTAAAGAATGTTGAATTTTGTTTGATAGGCCGTTAATTTATCTGACGAACGTCTTTTTTTTTTTTCAAGGCTTGTTTTAAAGCTTTGTTAGAGTGGGTCAAGGGCAGGATTCTTTCTTGGGCTCTGAAAATGTGATATTTCCAGGGCCTCTAAGTGGTCAATATGGTCTCTACACTCTGTTCAGAATCCAAATAATTTCAACTGTGTAAAAGTTCTGGCAGGCATTAAGCTGACAGCTCTCTGGCAGTTGTTTTATCACCAGTGGATATTCTTTGCCCAGCCTCATGGAGTCTCACTCTACACGTGCACAGTGCGCTATTTAGCTGATCTCTCTGAGTATTCATGGGGTTCTTCCTTGGCATAGCTTCCTCCTTTGTGTTTTCTGCTCTGTAGCTCCATCTTTAGCAGTCACCCCAAATGCCAATCTATATGTTCTCATCTTAACAAGATGTGATTGCTGTGATCTAAATCCCCCTCTTTCTCATAAGGGAGTCAAGTTAATGTCTCCAGACAGAAAGTCATACAGCTTATAGTTGATCTCAGCTGTTCTTTTCTTTGGGGGATCAGGGGCCTGAAGTGAAAGCTTATTTTTCATTGAAATATAGTTGATGTGCAATATTGTGTTAGTTTCAGGTATATAGCAAAGTGATTCACTTATACACATATATGTTTCAGATTTTTTTCTGTTATAGGTGATTACAAGATATTGAATATAACTCCCTGTGTTATATAGTAAATTCTTGCTGCTTATCTAATGTATGTATAATAGTTTATAGCTGTTAATCCCATTAGAGATCCTCGTTTATTCCCCCTCACCCTCCTTTCCCCTTTGGTAACTATAAGTTAGTTTTCTATGTCTGAGAGTCTATTAATGTTTTGTATACATAATTTTTTGTATTATTTTTTAGATTCAACATAAAAGTGATATCATATAATATTGGTCTTTGCCTGACTTACTTCACTTAGTATGATATTCGCTGGGTCCATCCATGACACTGCAAATGGCAATTACTCATTCTTTTTATGGTTGAGTAATGTTCCAATGTATACATATGTTGACACCACATCTTAAACCAATCTCCTATTGATGAGCACTTGGGTTGTGTCCAAGTCTTGGCTATTGTAAATAGTACTGCTGTGAACATTGGGGTACATATATATTCTGAAATTTTATTTTTATTTATTTGTCTGTTCTGGTTGTGAATGGTAGAAGGACTAGCTCAGTACTAGCTATTCACTTGTTACATGAAACAAGTTTCATCAGCCTGCCATAGTATTTTTGGAAATTAAGTTTGTCTGGAGGATCTCATCAAGATGGCAAAATAGAAGGACCTTGAGCTCACCTCCTCTCACATACACAACAAAGCCGCAACTGACTGCTGAACAACCATCGATAACAAAGGTTGGAACCTACCAAAAAAGATCCTCTACAACTGAAGACATAAAGAGAGAAACACAGTGGGATGGTAGGAGGGGTGCACTGGCGATATCAATGGGTCCCATACGCCCTAGGTGGGCCAACCACAAGGAGGAGAATAATTCTATCGTGGAGGTTCTTCCAGGGGAGTGGGAGTTCTGAGCGCCACGGCACGTGCCAGCCCTGGGATCTGGCATCAGGAGGAAGAGCCCCCAGAGCCATTTCCCTTTGAAGGCCAGTGGGGCTTGATTGCAAGAGCTCCACAAGACTGGGGAAAACAGACATTCTACTCTTAAGACATTCTACACACATAGAATCTCATGTGCTCTGGGACCAAGGTCAAAAATGGTGATTTCATAGGGGCCTGGGTCAGACCTGCCTACTGGTCTTGCAGTGTCTCCTGGGGAGGTGGGGGGTGGCTGTGGCTCACCCTGGGGACGTAAAAGCTGGTGACGGACATATTGGACAGTACACATCTCTACGAACTCTCCTGGAGGCTGACATCTTGCCTGGGTCATTAGCACCAAAACCTGGCCCACCCAGCGGTCTATAGGCTTAAGTGCTGGGATGCCTCAGGCCAAACAACTAACTGGAGGGGAACATATTGCCACCCGTCAGCAGACATCCTGAGCCCACGGCGGCCTCTACACATGCCCCCGCCATCCGCCCTCCACTGGTGTATCCCTGATTGAGCCAGGTCCCAAAGCTGTCTTTGTGGTAGATGTAGGTTGCTCAGTACTGGCTTATCCTGCTTGCTGTACAGCGGTACCTTGTTGTTTGTTCCGCACATCGTAGTTTGCATGTGGCAATCCCAGACTCCCAGTTTATCCCTCCCTCCCACCTTCCCCCTGGAAACCGTAAGTTTGTTTTCTGTCTCTCAGTCTCTTTCTGTTTTGTAAATCAGTTCATTTGTGTCAGTTTTTCAGATTCCACATACAAGTTATATGATATTTGTCTTTGACATACTTCATTTAATATGATAATCTCTAGGTCCATCCATGTTGCTGCAAGTGGCAATATTCCCTGATTTTACCCCAACTCTGCCTTCCCAAAAGGAGGAGGGATTTTTGTGCATATTTAGTCTGGATAGGAAGTGTCCTGGCCTCAGTGCATGAAGGGTGCTTCTAATCTGCAAGGCTAATTTTATTGAAATCAGGGCATAATGAGCAAAAAGTACATTCAAATACC